TCAACAACTGAAATTTAGAATAGTGTGATTAAGAAAAATATGTGAACTGTTTGCAATTTCAAATTAATATTGAAATGTACAGGTTTAGAATTTTCTACAGTGAAAAGTTTTCGGAACTTCAGTATTCAAAAAAGTATACAAAAGCTAGACGTTAAGAACGTATCCATTGAGCGAGCATTGGATTGCTAAGCAATCCGAAATGAACTGCGAATGCAGTTCCCGGGGTTGGCGAGCGCCAGCGAGTAGGGGGCGAAGCTTCCTAGTATAGTTTAATAGTTTGGGACTGTATTTTGCTAATCCATATTTATCTTCAATTTGTTGCTTAGAATTGCTTTTACACATTTTTTTTTAACAAGCATCTGGAATTTCTATTAGATAGCAGCAGAATACATAAATATAGTACGCTAAAGATGCTCTCACGATCCATTCGAAAATGTGGTTTATCATTATATTATTCCAAGCCTTTTAATTGAATAACAATGTGATGAATTTTTAAAAATAAATGGGTAAGTTTTTGAAAAGAAAACTACATTAAAGCAAAATAAGAGTTACAACTTAACTTAATTGGTTTCAAAGTATCAGCAGCGATGCTGAGGCGGGAAAAAAAACCTATTTATTATTTTTATAATCGTTGACCCAATTTTTTATTTGAATAATCAGCATTGAGCTTCCAATCCTTAATCTATACCATTCCCGCCGTTAGAGAGTCCAAACTTTTGTGTGGTATAGTGCAGATCTTAGACTTCAAAATGGACCATACAGTGTAATCCATAGGATTGAGATCTGGCGAGTAAGGTGGCCATTCATCAGATGTTGCCTTGCACCACTCTTGTATCTTATTGGCCTTGTGAGCTGGTTTCGTTCCAGTTTACATTGCTTTTTGGTCAACAGAACGTTTTTGATTTATTCTAACGCCCTCATCCACAAAAATATAAAAAACCAGAGATGTTTTGCCGTTAGCACAAAATCCTCCCAGACCATGACAGACTGAATTTTGGCGATGTTCAACAAACTGAGGTGTTTGGAGATCCCATCGTTCTGGGAGTTGTAAAACGGTAAAGAACGGTCTCATTGCTGAAAATTACAATAAGCATTTTCGCCTTTGCACTTCTGCACTTTGAAATCAATTAAATTTATTTATAAGTAAATGTCTATTCTCATTATTATTTGTTATTTTTTATTAATTTATTTATTTTCCATAAAGTTAGATTAAAAATTGTTTGTCCGCTCCACCCTGTTAACATCAAAAATGACCTTACAATAAAAATTATGCTTTTAAAAATTTTCGAAAACATGTTTTATATCAACTTTTTTTAAAATGAAATATCAATCGAAACTTGTATTCGTAAATTGAATAAGGTAATGATTAAATGTAATTTATAAATAAAATGGAATTTATAAATAAAATGAAATTTAAAAATAAATAAAGGAAGATGAAAAAAACAAAACAGCAAACATAAAAAAGAATTAATTTTTAGTTACAGAAGAACATCAGAACTATATTGCATTATCAAACGGTTTTGTTATTCCTAAAACTAAAAGGTTGCCTCTTCCTGTTCTGAAGCAAATTCTTATAAAAAATCTGTTCAACGTCAACAATATTCTTTTTAAACTTATAACAGGATTTAAAGCAAAATTTAGACTCATTTGCAATGAAAAATATCAATTCACAAGCACTCTTAAAAGGAAAAATATTATTAATATTAATAAAATAATTAAATAAAGAAAAAAAACTAAAAAAAAGAAAACAAAACGAATACAAAACCATATTTAATGAATTTAAAGGGGGAAAATGAATTTATCATCAACATTTTGACCCTGAATTTATAATTATTGATGTGCGCATATAGGAAGTAGATTAACACCTTTTCTGTCGGATTTTTTTCGAATTTCCGACCCAAAAATTTTTTTTTTCTTTTGCTGAAAATTAATATATCTATTCTAAATTCGGAAATACAAAATATTTTTGACAGCAAGCAGTTTTTTGCTTGATCTATTGGTGGTGAAATACGCCCAAGTTTATTCAATGAAGATATGCTAGATATTCTATGAAGTTTTGTCAAAAGATTTCTCTATATTTTATAAATTCTAAGAGGTCATGAATCATAGATCGATTTAAGGAATTCAATATCACGACATAAAAAAATTGTGTAACATTTTCTGTTTAACTGAAAGGAAAAAAAAAAAAGATTCTTTCTTTTAAACTTTATTTCTAATAGTTAAATTATTCGTAGAAAATAAATAATTGTTCTTCTGCAGATTAAAAGTGAAAATGCCTGGTGGACCTTGTGGACCAAACTGCACCTGCGAGAAATGCCGTTGCTGTTCTGCAGCTTCCAAATGTACTTCTAACTGCAAATGCGACAACTGCCGTTGCTGCCAGAGGAGCCAGAAGTGCAATTGTGGTGATTGCAAGTGCTGCGGTGAGGCCAAGTGCTGAAACGTATCTCGAACAGATTGAAAGCAACCAAACAAAGAATTGATGAATAAAAATATTTATTGTCCAGACATCTCGTTGTTATAAAACTAATAAATGCTATTCGTTTGAGAAATTTTTGAATTTGCTTGCCCTTTTTGAATTTGCATTTTTGTTTAATTTTTAACACAGTAACTTAACTTTTCTAAGACAGATCTCCAGATAAAACCACATTCCCTAATATTTACAGAGTAATATTTTGCAGATTTTTGCGACATAAACTAGCATGATTTTAATTTTTATTTAAAAATTTGTCTATGTATTAATCAAACATTAACAATGAATGCAGAAAATAGTTTGTTTCTTCTAAATTTATTTATCCTTTCCTACATTCACAGGAAAAAAAAATTTACAAGGTCAATGCAATCTTAAGGTGCGCAGATTTTTTAATTTTTTTAAAAAAAAATTAAACCTTTTTGGCAGCACTTCTACAAGAATATCAAAAACTTCAGCAAACATGACCAAATGAATGCAAATAATCATTTTTTTGTTGCAGTTACTCTTTGAATAAATTATTTATATTTACATTGAAAATAATAGATTTAATGTTGTTGTTGTCGTGTCTATGCTAGTGCAAAGATTAGAGTCCTCCAAAAGTATTGATTACAAAATTTGCAAGCTCTGGCATATCGGGCTGCTCGAAAAGTAATTTTTTTTTAATGAAAATGAAAAGGGACTTTCTTAGAGGGAATGAATATTTACCTTTCTGGCAGTAGCATGATTCCAAGCGCTGAAAATTTTTGTTCTTCGCCAGATGATTTTTGACCTCATTATTTGAAGTGAAGGTTTTACCCCCTAAAAATATTTATTAAATCCCGGGTTTTTCAAATGATCGATTAAATTCGATCATTTATTTTCTCAGCGATTTCACGAGTTCGCCAGTTTGCATCAATGAAGCTTCAATTGGAGTGGAGCATCTTCGTGCATCTTAATCAAAACAGCTTTTTGGCAGTGGCGATACACACAGCGGATCATTATTTTTTTTGCTTCAACACCATTTTTACCTTTTTGATAGTGAAAAAGTAAAATATGCCGAAAATTCTGCTTTCATACTTGAAAGGGCACCCACCAAACACTACTGCGTAGAATCAATTGAACTTTTTTCACAAACAAGCCTTTGCTATATCAGCTGTTAAAATATACAAAAATTATGTGGCTTAAGTTTGAAGCTGTGAAAATATATAATGAAGTCCGGTATTGAGAAAAAAAAAATCAGAATTACTTTACGAACAGCTCCAATAGTTCCAGGAAGAAAAAAAAATTTACAAGGTCAATGCAATCTTAAGGTGCACAGATTTTTTAATTTTTTTTAAAAAAAATTAAACCTTTTTGGCAGCACTTTTACAAGAATATCAAAAACTTCAGCAAACATGACCAAATGAATGCAAATTATCATTTTTTTGTTGCAGTTACTCTTTGAATAAATTATTTATATTTACATTGAAAATAATAGATTTAATGTTGTTGTTGTCGTGTCTATGCTAGTGCAAAGATTAGAGTCCTCTAAAAGTATTGATTACAAAATTTGCAAGCTCTGGAGCCCGATGGCCATGGAGAATTTCGATGGGAGGTGCTCCAAGTTGAAAGAGGGAGCCGATAATATAACAGATTTAATATAACATGCAATTGAATTTTAATCTATGTACAGAGGTGATTGTGAGCCCAACTCAAAAATCCTGAAAATTTCTTGAGTATAATCATTAATGACGCATTTCAAAAAATTAACGTCTTTATAAATTGAAATCATTGATATTTTCAAAACATGAAACTCTAAATAAATTATATCAGCATAATTTAAATGAATAACTATGTATAAGTTTACTTTATCTCTAATCGCATTTATTATTCTACCAAAAAAATATTTACAAATAAGAGATGCCAAGTACAGGAATTTTGATACATAAATGTAATGATTTCTCGAATCACACATCATCTCTGCTTTCTGTGACATTAAAAAAAAATATATAAGTTCTAATTTCAGTAATAATTCTATTAAAAATTCCATATATATATTTGATTTAAAAAATTTTTTTTATATCGTAATGCTTTAATAAATTTAATTATTTTATTGTTTCATAGAAGTATCATAATTTTAAATTCGAATTATTAATTAAAACAGTTGGTGATAAGAAAAATAAATGCTGGAATGTCTTTTTTTAAAGTTATAATTGTATAAGAAGGAAATTTAGTTTTTCTATCTTAAAACATTTATCAAACTGTAGTAACTGTTAATAGACGTTTCTAAAGAATTGACTAGTTTTCCGATTTGTTTATTTTAGCCTCTTTTTTTTATTTTATTGCATGTATATTGATATATTTTTACAGTCATATTCAATAGTATAAGGTTTTATATGATAATAATTGGTTAGGAAGAAAAAAACAACTTTTAATGCCTAAAAAATAAGATTGATAAAAAAAATAAAATAATAGACGGTCAGTGTTAAAGGGGATATTTCTGTATCGTACAAAAGTATTTATGCAAATTTTTACTTATTTTCGTTTACACAAATCAAATTAATTGGACGAATTTATTTTGATCTGCACAATTGGATATTTGGATTTTGACGAGATCGGATAATGTTGCCATTTGCAATGAATTTGTTTTGTCGAATAACGGACGAGGAACAAATATGTTAATGCTACATTTTTTCCCCTTTTACACTTTCATCTGAACAAATTCAGATATTTTCTCTGTATAAAAATAATTTAAACAAAATGCACTTGACATATTTTTTTGAGCAGTCTGGAAAGTTTCAAGGAGAAAACGCATCCTTTATCCAGAATAAACGTTTTTCAGTAAATACTCTGATGCAATTATGAAGTTGACTTATCAATGTTACTTTTCTCATGACCATTTCCCAACTAAATACATACTTATTCTCTCAAATTTTTAAGTCACTTTAAAAAACATCTAACAACCTATGCAACTAGAGAGCCCTGCTAGAGTCGAAACTAGAGAAAAGAAGAAAAATCATGCTTTTATTTATCCTGGCACAATATTATGAAAATAATTAGTTAAATGTAACAGATCTTCTAGTTTTCTTTTAATGAATTTAAGAAAGCGGAATCATCTACTACATTTTTACATAGTTTTTTTTTTTTTTTTAATGAAGAAATGCATACGTTGTCAATATCAGGGGTTCCCAATTTTTTTTCCGGCTATGGAACACTAAATGATCAACCTTCTTTTGACCGAACCTTGATGAATAAATTTCAAAAGTGATTGAGGGCATATTAATTAATGAAAGGTTATTAATTATTTTGAACGTTCTTTTCACAGGGTAAGTAGCCAAATATTTCAATAAAAAATAAGCACCTTTTAAGGATATTCTTAAGCACTATATACATTACCAAAATAATTTTCAAAAACTTATATGTTCGATATCAGAGGGTGGAAAATGAAGTCTGAAATTTAGAATATTTTGCAAAATGCAGCAGAGTTGCACACGAGTAGACCCAGCTCAGTAGACGCAAATGAACTTGCAAAGTATTTCACCAAACATGTAAAACATTGGCGCTTTCATACGCTATGGACCGACTGTATGCTGAAAAGGATTGGGGTTGAATGGATTGTGAAAATGTTGAATAGAACAATGTGAAAAGCACAATTTGGCGTACTACGCGGGAAAAATCAACAGAAAGAAAAAAAAAAATCTCATTTAGAAAAGGGAAATTTAAGCACTTTTTAAAAACACCCAATGAAAATAAGCATCTTTAAGGGCTTCTAAAAACGAAAATAAACACCATTAAAAACGCTACGCACCATGTTTCATGCTATCGTTTTGTCAATATTAGTCTTGAAATTTGGTTTTATGTCAGACACAGGCCTGGATCGGCATCTATAGTCTAGTTTTTAACTTAGGGCAAAAAAAAATCACCATCAATTAGTTGATGTCCTCATACTAATATTAAATTAATATTTATAATTTAGTAGCCCTCAATTCACCATTTTAAAATTCTATAATTGATTCTTTTAAAATCAGATGCATCAATCTGAACGAACGTTCTGATGACCACTTTATTCTACTCTAGTAAGCAAGGATTTTAAAATAATCGATTTGGAATCAAAGAACAGAAAAATAAAAATTTACAACTCAACATCTTTTGACTTCAATAATGAAAATTTCATAGTTTAAGTAAAAATTTTACACATCCATATTTTTAAGACGATGAATGCACTCCTTTTAGTTTCAACCAATCCAGCAACAAACATACCACAGTAATTTTATCAAGGAACTTTTAAATCATTTAGTAAATTACTATTTGTTTTCCTTTCTTTAAGATAATTACTTTAAGATTAAAAATCAAATATGATTGCTATTATGAAAGAATATTGACTAACTTATGCTTTTAGTGCAACGTTAAAATTTTCTATGTATTGATATTAAGCTATTAGGAATTGTTCAGCGCTCCATTATTTAAATCGTGCCAGAAAGTTTTGATGTAAATAAAATAGTTTTGAAATGAAAAATATTATACATTTTTTATTTTTGGAGACAATTTTATATATACATATATAATTGAATGTTTGGTATTTTTAAAAGTAGTATGGTGTATGTAGACTGTTTCAAAGAGAAAAAAAAAAAAACAGATTTTTTTTATGAGATTTGAATTTTCAGAACCAAAAAAAATTTTCGATTTATTTTTAGTGCATGCGCAGCAAAAAAGAACTACTTCAAATACTCATATACTGCGCAGTTTTTTTTTAAAATTTTAAACCAATAGTTTTGTAATTAATTTTAAATTGCAACAAAAACTTTGTTTAATTCCATTGAATATTTTTAAAGCCGTAAAACAAAGAATTAGCTTTTATTTTTAGAATAAAAACATTCATATCTTCATTAATATTTACGCTAGGTTTGCGAAATGTTATGCTGTTACTAAAAACAATTTGAGTAATTGGTACAAAGTTCCAAGCTTATTTCTGGCCTAGGGTGTTAAAACACTTATTTTTCATAACTTATTATAGGTCTCCCAAACCTCTAAAGCTTATCGAGTTAAAAATAACTCTAAAGGTACAATAGGAATTTCTTGGGAAATTTAAAAAAAAAAGTGTACATATTATGCATATATATCTTTCCTGGTTTTTGACTATCCTGACAACCCTAAACTTTATTACTAAAAAAGATAATTCTATTTACAGAGCTCATTCTAGGCAGGGTAAACGGGGCACAGCACCCTGCTGCCCCTGAAGTAAATTAATGCCCTGATGTAATATACTCCATACCCTTCTTTATCCCCCCCCCAAACTATACAATGGATTTCTTAAACTTTTGTTATTTTAAACTCTTTTTATTTAGTTTGTCGTTGCTGTCAATACATAGATTTATATGGGAAAGGAAAAATACCCACCTTGTTGCACTTGTCTTTGAAAGTTTGCAATTACTTGCACTATCATATCATAATTACAGACACTTAAAAACATACCTTTATTAATATATGCATGCATTTTAAATAAATTACTAAGCTAATTAGCTCGATTTATATGTTAATTTATTAATAAAAATTAGTAATTAATGATTTGCTACTTTTATAAAGTAAAAAATAAATTATTTTATTAATTTACAATGTTTTTTATTTTGCGAAGTTCAAACGTTTGTTTGAAAATTATTGCATATATATATTTTAATTTACATTTTATAGTGTTTAATCTACATAAGAGTATTTCACCAAACTTTTTGTGACGAAAATCGATATTGTAAAGAGAGGGGGGGGGGACTCGTTCTGAAAAAGTGGATATTAAGTAGCACCTCAAAAGATAATATTTTTGATTTCAGAATTGCTTTGTTTAGAATAGCAAGTTTTCACAATTTTAAATAGTTTCAAATCGATTCATGGAAATTTATAACATTGCATTACTATAACATCCACACTAATATTAAAATTTGTAACAAAGTTTAAGATTTCATTAATCAAATAATAAAATGTCAGTTTTGTATATAGTTATAATAAGTCAACAATAGCTACAAATCATGATTACTGTATTATAAAACGGAATCTATCATCGTTGAAATGACATGAAAGAGACTAATACCTTTCACCTAACAAGATTTGTATTTCAGATACTTAAAATAAGTGCAAGACTGAATTTGTCACCATTAAAATTTAATATAAAATTGCTAAAAGTTTTTTCCTAGAATGACTGAATTTTACAAAACTTCAACTAAGGACGCACAACTTTTTTGAGGGAAGGGCCACTTGCACTGCACATAGATTAACAAAGGGGCCCCTCATATTTAGCCATGTTAGCGGCAAACATGATAATTTTTATCTAAAAATTTGTGTTCTAAGCACCAATTATTTTTATCAGTAAACTTAACACATTTTCAGAAAACTAAATACTTTTAATTATTTGAAATTAATTAAAACTAAAAAAAAAACTGATAAATTTTTTAAAACATGTAACATAAATATTTGCGGAAAGGGGATATAAACTACTAACCAAAATGAAGCTTATGGACTGAAAGTGCTAAAAACTACAGTTTATTAAGTAATAAAAATTTGAATTAAATATTTAATAAAAGAAAATTTATAATGTTTAAACAAAAACCAAATTAAAAGAAACGTTGTGGCCCTCAGGCCATAGGTTGTGCACCCCTACTTTGAACGAATTTTGTGCTATCTATTAGCATTACAAATAAAAATATACCAAATCAAAAGTCCAAACATTTTGACACACCTAAACCACAATTAAAAATTTGCTTTTTAAATTAAATGTTCAGAACATACAAAAACTAGGAATAGCAGGAAAACTTAAGAGACCTGTGTAATAATAATAAAAAAAACAAACAGTGGCAAGGAAGAAACTAATATGAACTCTGTGAATGCTTTTTTAAAACTTTATTTTATACACTAAGTCTTTAAAACTTAGCGAAGGATTTTTTTGTGGCAGCACCTTTTGTCACTTTTAATACATTAAATCTAACAGTTTTACTTAAAGGTCGATTTTCACCGACAGTGACAACATCTCCAATGACAACATCCCTGAAACAGGGTGACAAGTGAACAGACATATTTTTGTGTCGTTTCTCGAATCTGTTGTATTTTCTAATGTAGTGAAGGTAATCTCTTCGGATGACGATGGTCCTGTTCATTTTCATCTTGATGACAGTTCCTCGTAGGATACGTCCACGGATGCTCACGTTGCCTGTGAATGGGCATTTCTTGTCAATGTAGTTACCTTCCTGTGCTTCTCGGGGAGTCTTGAAGCCTAGACCCACATTTTTGGTGTATCTCAGCTTTTTCAATTTCAGTTTGCCCAGACCGACTTTCTTGTTCAAAAAGACTGTGGGCTGTTTTTGAAAGGCCCTCTCGTTCTGCTCCACGACCTTATCCATTTTCTATTTTATAGATCTACCTGCAAAAGAAGATAGATCGAAAATTAATATAAAAAAAAGCACAAATTATGGAACACAAGCATACATTTAGAATTTTTAAATAACAAGGACTTTGATAATAACTAAGCCATGGAACACTTATTATCGGAATAAACAGCACAAGCTTAACAAATATGTAATTTCCATTTATCCGTGCTTTAACACAAATATACACAAGAATACCAGGCAAGACATCTTAAATCCATTAATTGTACTTATGAGTTTTAAAAATGTCCACACATGAAGATTACCTAATCGATTTCTGGCATAAGTAGGCAGTTGATAAAAGAAATAAAGTTTGATGAAAGTTTACATATTTAACTTACTGTTTGAAATCGCAGCAATTTGCAAAACACAAGCAAAGCAAATTATGGCAATATCTATTTATCTATGCCTTTTTTGACACACAAACATCCACTAGAATATCAGGTAACACAAAGGCAATACATCCTTACAAGCCAACAATCATTTCTTTAGTTTAAAACAAGGTCCGAGAAAAGTTTATGTCATAGAATACTTTTATTGTCTGAAATTACAGCAATTTGCAAAACACATGCAAAGCAAGTTATAGTAATATCCATTCATCTTTGCCTTTTTTGACACACAAACATCCACTAGAATATCAGGTAACACAAAGGCAATACATCCTTACATTCCAGCAATCATTTTTAAGTTAAAAAATATCAAAATTTCTCAGTAAAGACTTCAGTAAAACAAAATGCTATTAACCTAAAAATACTAAGACGAAACAAGATAGAGGCAATGAAAAATTCTCCAAATTTCTGTGCTACAAACAAATAATGGAATAAGCGAGAAATTATAATGAAACTGTGGAGTTGAACACTTGGGAGATTCATGTAAATAAGTTTTAATTTATGCAGTTTTCTACTGCAGCTTTAACATCTTTGCTCACTTAAGACATTTCTTTTTCTTTTCCCTCCATGATTATCTTTACTTTTACCAATAAATAAACAAAAAACAAACTATCAGCTGAGTAAGAAACTCTATATGAAAAAGCTAATGTTGGAATTCACAGCAATTTACAGAACACAAGTATTGTAAATATTATGCATGCCATACATTCATTTCTGCCTTTTTTGACACACAAATATTCACAAGAACATCATGTAACACAAAGGCAAAAAATTAGCTATTCAGAAGTGAAATAATTTTCTGTAACATTCAGAAATTTACTCAATACACATAACTTTAAGGATTTCAAAACTATAATGGAAGATATCAAGGTTGGCAAAAATCATGTTAAAAAAATAAATCTGATAATAGATCTTTGCTCAAACTAAACATCCTGAATATGTAAAGAGAATCACCTAATTTTAATAAGGCATTGAGTAAAGAATAATTTAATTTAGACAGTTATTTAAAATTACTATAGGCAGATGTCTCTATAATATAAATTATGGCAAACTATATATTAAGTTTTAACAGCACTGGCTTCTAAATGCATTAAACTTAATAGGTAATTGCAATATGCTTATTAAAAAGAAATTTTATAAACAATGAAAGGAAATTATAACTACATAAAAAATTCAATAAAATTAAAATCAGACATAATGACATGACTATAACTATACAATATTTATAATTTATATTGAAAAATAATTGATATATATCAATGATTTAAAAAAACAAAATAAAATCAGATGATCTAAGCAAATGTAAAAATTGAAACTCTTTTAAGAATCCCAGTATTTAAGTATAAACAGAAAATGATATAGCAAAAATTACAGAAAAAAACTAGGAAATAAGCCTATCTATTATGCAACAAAAAGACAAATAATTTTAAATATTAAAGACATGTTGGATATTACACAAAGTAACAAAATTATTTAATTACATTAATATAGGCATAATATCCATTACTCTCTGCCTTTTTTGACACACAATAATTCAAAAACTATCATGTAACACAAAGGCAAAAATTATAAAAAAAATTAATAAATAAAAAATTTCAATTAGTTCTATGAATACTCAAATTAAAATCTTTCTAGTAATTTCAAACTGCTTTGTATTATATACTGTAATGAAAATTAATTTTAAGCAATAGTAAGATTAATGTCATATTTATAAGAACTTAAAAGGATAATAAATACTGCATTTAACCTAATTAAAAAAAAAATATCAGTCAGATACAAATTAATCTGAACTAATAGAATTATCTAGATATTATAAACACAAAAATCCAAGAATACAACAATAAACACAAAAATACTAGATAACTAATAAACTAAGAATACAAATAAGAATACTAAATAAACTAAGAATACAAATAAACACAAAAATCAATGATTTAAATTCTAAGACTGAAAAATTTAAAAAACAAGAAAGAAGTTCCAAAACAGTTTCTTCCGCAGACAAATTACTGAGCAATCATTTGTCACTTATAGGACAAAATAAACTGCGGAAAGCCAGTCAAATAAATGCTATTCTTTTAGAGCAGTGTTTCTTAACCTTTTTGGTATAATGGACCCCTTTTAAAATTTTTAAAGAAGTCACAGACCACCCCCTGTGAAAAAATTTATTGAATAAAAACATCAATTATTTCGCATTAAAACCTTTCTATTCTTTAAACAAACTAAAACAGGGAAAAAAATAACCTTTTAATTCTTAAAATAAAGCTTTAATGCTGAAAACGTTCTAAAAAAAGCACTTAAAAAAATGCTCCTAAAAAAAACAAAGATTTTTTTCCCCAAAAAATTGCAAGTAAATCTATTTGGCAACTTGGCGATTGTAGTTGGTGCGATAGATCACATTAAGGAAATGTCCCCCAAAATATTACAATAAATAAGAAAAATTATCTGCAAAATTTGAACTGGTGAACATCACAATATGGCTAATATTGGACACCAATAACTTTCACTTTAGGTACACATTGATTTCAAGCTGGTTGACTGAATAAACAACTAAGACAAAGTAGTTATATTGCGTATACAATGTAGCCTTCAAACAGAAAATATTTTAACGATTTAAAATCAGGACACGGGCTGACATTTTGTATATTCTAATGACTAATTGTGCTATATAATCAGGGGAAGAGGAATACACAATAGCCAGTCAACTTATAAGAATATTAAAACATATCAATTTCAAGGGATGAAAATATTTGACAGATATGGGTACTAGGTACATATTGTTAATTTCAGATAAAAATAGACTTCTCAAAAACAAATTATTTAGCTTAGTTCATTGTCTGGTAGTATAACCTACTAGCTTTGCTATTCTCAGTAACTCAAGAAATATATATTATGTATATATATATACATAAAAAAACAAATAATATTGACAAAGATACATCTTCAGGCAATGACCAAACATGAGGGGGGAAAAATACTGAAACAAACCGATAGATACTTGTCAGTAGCAGAGAAATTACTAGTTTATAATTTTGTAGAATTTCCACAAAAAGCCACCTCTAGTTAATTAATATTAAAAAAACACATGTTTGTTTATTAATTTCAATTTCGAGAATCTATCACAACTAAAAGCGTTCATACCGAATTTTTGAATGTTTACCCTAAATTTTATGCACACCAATAGATTTTATGCATATAACATAAAAATATACACCAGTGTTAAAATTTTGGATTAACTCATTTCTCTGCGAAACGTCGATGTTGAGATCTTATTACTATTGAGCTGCTAATTTCACATTACTTTTAAGGAATGATTAATACACATAGAAAATTAATTTAATCAATAATAGCGCATTTATTTTCATAAAAAAAAACTTTGAATACCAATGCTCACACATTAAGCCTTATCGGTTTATGAACATAGCTTACGTTTGTTACCATTTTCTGGAACGTTTTTTAATTAAGTACACAATGGTTCCACTTTATAAAATTAGAATAACAAAATAAAATTTCAAATACTTACCAATTAGTTATTAAACACAAATATTAATAATAATCTAACATCCAAATGGACGAGAAACGTGTACACCGAAATTTTAGTAAAATTGGGAATTGTTGCCAAAATTCCGGAAGAAAGTTCTGAGATGAGTGGAGTTGATTTCTTGAGTCCGAAGAAAAACATTTCTTTAAATAGGCAAAAATGTCTGAATTAATTTATTTTACAGAAAAAAGTATATAATTTAATGTTTTTTAAGGAAATCCTATGCTTCTCTGCTATATTTATTTTTAATTGTTTTAGATCAAAAGTTAATTACAAAAATTTGGCAACAATATCTTATCGTAAAGAAAAATAAACAAACTGCGCGGTTGTTTCGGTCTGTTCTTGTGTTAAGAATATTTTAATAGTGAATATTTAATTAAAGTACTGATTTTAAGTTTTCTTTATTTATAACAAGTAGTAAATAAATTTCTTACTGTATTTTTATAAAAATTAGTTTCACTTATCTTGTATTGGGAAAAGTTGATAATATATGATTTGATTCTTTATCAATTTTCAAACTAGGTATTTTTATCATAGTGTATTTTTAACGACTTTTAAAAATAATGCTAAGAATAGGTTTTTATTTATTTTTTAATACTTTTGGAGTTGAAGTAACTTATAATAAAGCAAATTTAACACGTTTTTTTTTCTATTTCATTTTGAAATTCTCTAATCTATCAAATGCAAATCTTACAAATTTTTTGTCGTTAATTTTTTTTATCATAGCAAATTATTTTGTTTCATGTTTATGTTATTTGGACACAACTCTAATTGGTTGTGCTCTGCATGTTCCGAAAATTACTGTAATCGAATAGAAAATAGTACTGATTTGTTTAGAAAAATTCATTTTCAGGATTGAGTTAAATATATATTTTTCTTTCCAGTGAAAAAAAAATAATTCGCCAATACCTTTGTCAGAACACAATTTTATTAGCCAAATTACAATATTGCATTTGGCACGAATGCTTAGCGTGGGCTCTGATTATGCAATTTATACTGTAACAAGTAAATACTTTATATAGCTAAAAGTGTTTTTAGTTTATTTAAATAAAAAATAATTTTTAAAGAGTGGCAAAAAAGTTTTTTCTGGTAAGTTAGCTAAGAGTTTATCAAAGTTAGTTAGAAATTTATTTTTCTCTTAACCAATTTTTACAAATATTTCTTGCAAAATAGTAATTATTATTATAGTAATTTTAGTATAGTAATTTCATCTGCAACTACCTACTGCAAATGTAGTTAACTACAACTATTTTTTATAAATGTAGTGAATACAAACTACTTTCGAAGTGTAGTCACTACTTCACGATTTTCAGGAGACATGTTAGGTTCCATTCACACAAATCTTCAAAAAAGTCTTCAAATTTTTTTGTTACTTTGAAAATGAGTCAGAATTACTTTGTGAAATATGCATATCAAATGGTTAAAGGGGGTAATTTAGGATCGAATTCAGTTATAATAAAATATTGCACACATTGATAAATTTAACGATGGTAAGTGAGTGTCCTTTCAAAATTGAAAAGTTCCTTTTCTGTGAGGAAGCACTTTGCCCTTTTTTAGATCAGGAAAGAATTCTGTCTCTTAAATACTAAATTTTTGTAAATGTTCTATTTCATTTACAGGGTTGCCACAGGCGACTAAAATGCAACTATTTTCGGCATGAGGCAACTATGGCAACTTTTTTTGCCTGAAAAGGCTAAAAAAGCAACTATTTTCAGGAAGAGGAGATTATTGGGAGACTTTTTCGTACTCCTAGCGATGATTTTTTTTTAGCATAAATTGGGTTTAAAATCTGCTACCCACGATAACTTTTGAACACACGGAACTTTTTTTTCTTAAAAAATTTTGAATTGCAAATTTGAGTCTTCACTTTTTAATTTGTTCAATCTGCAGATTCCTTTGTAAGTCTATTGGGCTTCTTGGTCACCTTTTCAATGGTTATTGCTTCGAAATACCGCATGATTTAAAAAAAAAAAGAGAAAATTTTTTAATAAGATATTGCGATGCGTGAATTTCAAATTTGAGTAATCACTTTTCACAATATATATGTGTATATATATATTTCAGCGATAAATTATTGATTAAAGGTAAAATTGTGCTAGAACATTAACGCTTATATGAAATTTATCATATTTGCCACCAACTTGACTAAATGGATCATGGTATATGACAATTAAGTCATTTAATAACATTTTAGTCATAATTTTTGATGAATTTTTGTNAATTTTTGTTCTTATTTAGGCAACTATTTTCATAGCTTTTGGCGACTATTTTCATGCTTTAGGCTACTAAAAGCAACTATTTCATCCATTTTTTTTCTGTGGCAACCCTGCATTTATATATTTTCTCAAAGAAAAGTTTAGAAGAACACAAATATAAATATGTGTAAATAAATTTTCAACTTCTGCAACTGTTTTAATCTACAAATGTTCAAAAAACACTTCTTTGATGTATTAATTGTATGATTAATTTCACAGGTCTGCAACGAATATGTATAATCAGCTGAAGCTTTGGAATAATCTCTCTAGATTTTCACAGTGTAACAAAAAGAAGTTACATGTATGGACAAAAGGTAATATTTTTTTAACTTTTAAAATTGATAGTTTTGTTTTTTAACTATAAATAATAGGTAAATTAATAGTATTAAATTTGTCAACATTTAATTTTTAAAATTGATAAATTTGTTTTTTAACTATAAATAATAGGTAAATTAATATTAAATTTATCATCATCTGTTTATTCTGATGTGTGAAATTTATATTCTTGGAATCTGTGTAACCTTGATGATCTGTACCAAAAGTGAATTTGTGATATTTTTATAAGGATACCTGTTCACTTGAACTACAACTCCCAATTATTTATAAAAATTAAAAAATAAAGATTGTATAAAGGTATACTAGGGAGGTAAGTAAGTAAAGGTATACTTATAGGTTGGGCAGCTCCAAAAGCAGGGCACATGTACCAGAGGCAAGGGCGCCGGCAGAATAATATAAAAGGGGGTGCAACCCTCTAACAAACTAACCCACCACCCAAAAAAAATTTTTTTTTAAAAAATTATTCTGTTATTACATTTTGTTTTGTACTTTCATCTGTTAATTTTTTTCAACATACATTTCTTCACAGTTAACAAGATATTTAAAAAAAGTACGAAATTTTTGTACTTGCAAATTTTACCACGAGAAACTGTATTGAGGGCGCTGGCATAGCTATTGACTTTGATTTATTGTTTTGATGAAGTTTTACAGTTGTGAGAAGTCAGTTTTTGTTATATATCTTTGTTAAGCTAAATAACTAATCAAAAATATAATATTATTTCTATTTTATTAAATAAAATTTAAAAATATAGTTTAGATATCTGCCAAGTTTGTGCATGTTCAGTGTGTATAAGAAAAGAATCAAAGATGACTCAGAATTCATTGAAAAAGTTATGAACAGATTTGGATATCAAACATGAAGATTACAATTCTTGTTTGATGAAATAATTTTTTAATTGTTATGCTTCCATAATTACTTAATTATTTGTTTTTGAATAAAAATTTTTTATAACAAAATTGTTTTTCTGTATCTCTTTAATTGTTTAAAGAAAAAGCCAGGGGGGCGCAAGTGCACCCTCTTGCACCCCGCTGCCGACGCCCTTGACCAGAAGTCTATTGTATCTAAACCCTAAATCATAATTAGCTAGAAAGCCCTATAGCTGAAACAAAATTCAGCAAACACCTTACAGGAACTTCATGCAATTCCCAGGCTTTAATACAATGTTGTCCTAAATACTGAAGAGGAATGTCTACAGTTTATACAATTCAAGTTGGTCCCATATTGTGATGGTTTTTATTAGTTTTTCATATGCCACTGCTTGTTTGGCTCCAAAATTTGGTGCTTTTTTTTGGAGCAGGCACTGATACGGAAGTCTTCTATCAAATTTATGAACAATTAAACATTTTTCACCCTTAAAATATTAAAAAATGTATATGGTAAAAACCTTTTTATGTACAGATATAAGACGAATATTAAATAAATTATTTTAGCCACAGCTTTAATTAATAAATTTTTTGTGTCAATTAAGTTTATTGTTTAAATTATTTTATTATTCTTTCTGCATGTTTACCTATGTTTTTTTATTATGCTTCCGTCTTTCTTTCATTTTTACCTATGACAAATGAAAATAATTTTCTTAATTGTCATTTAGAGTTTGTTAAGTTTTCTTCTGAGGTTCGAGATGGTTTGTCACAATCAGCTCCTATAGTTGCTCTTGAAAGTACAGTCATCACTCATGGTTTGCCTTTTCCTGATAACTTAAGGTATATTTATTTTCTTATCTGAAAATTTTAGTCCCTCTTTAACTTAAAAAAAGTAGTTTCGGAATTCCAAATTCAAACTAAAGTTTCCTCGTATTTAAAGATTTCACTAGTCTATACATATTTTTACTCGCCCATTCACATGTCCATATCATTAAAAAAAAAACAAATATTTAAATGAAGCAAAATAAATTTACTAGTGCAAAATTTAAATTCTTGTAAACTAATGAAAAACTGCAATTCAAACTTTTATATAAAGCAAAATAAAATTTTTTCTCAATTAATAAAAAATTGTGAATTAAACTTTAATACCCTGTGGTAGAAGGACAAAGGATTGGATGGTGATTAACAAGCAAATTTTGAATCAGTATAAATAAACCTATGTTCTCGGAAATTTGTAATAAATTATCTCATTCAATAAGTAATACAAGAAGTTGGAAGCACATTTTTTAGAGGATATGTAATGTAGTTTTGGGCAAAGGATTGGATAGTGAGTAACAAAGGAATTTTTAATCAGTAAAGAAATTTTAACTCAGATGTTATGTTTGATAACCAGTCCCTTAAAATTTTAAACCAGTATAAAATCTAAGTACCGGAAATAATTGCAGCTTTCCCAAGTGGTAAGTAATAAAAGAAGTTGAAAGTACATGATTTGAAGCACATGAAGTTTATTCTCGTGGGGAAAAGTAGTGAATAACAAATTTTTTTTTTATAATCTTTTTTTGCATTTAGTTGTCGTGTGGCTGATGGTGACTGCCCCCGTGGCAGAATTGCAGCGACACAACGACATTGTCGCAGAACATTACAGAAGTTTTGCAGAAGGATTTTTCATTTGGGAAGGGGAAAGTTTAGGTTTTCGTTTCTGCATAATTTCTTTAAAAAAGTTTGTTTTTTTGCTCATCAAGGTAAGAAATAATCATGATTTTTCTATTCGCATTTGAGATTAAAAAAAAAAAAAAATAATAATCTGTAATGACTGGCTTCAGCTAGAATTCCAAAATAATAATCTAAAACAAAAAATTCTGAAATCGTGAAAGTTTAAAAGATAGTTCACTCTAAAAAATATGTTCTTTCTTTCATTTTTTTTTCCTTTAAAGAACTCCATATTTTACATACACTTATTTGAGAATCTTTTTTTTAAAAGAGTCCTATTCGCGTGATTCGTGATCTTTATTTTGGCAGTTGCTACCAAATTACGATTTTTAATTTACTATCGTTTAATTTATTTACGAATTTTAATTTGTGTATTGATTTACAAAATTCGAAAGAGAAAATAATTAGTGCATTTTTCCGCCTATAAAATGTGAGAGAATCGCATATAATATTAGAATTAATAAAAATTTTACTTTTGCATTTAAACTTTTTTATGCATTCTATACTTTTTTCTGTAAACACGTTTCTGTTATTTTAAACTAGAAATTGTTACAATTAAAAATATTTTAAAGAAAAATATTAGTTCCAGGGAAGTTGGTCACTGAAAGCCCGTAAAAATTCTGCGACAGGGGTGACTGTTAATTTTTCCCTTTAGCTTTAAAATTTTTTAATACCTTTCAGTTATTTTCTGTTTTCTTAATTTTAAATAGTACTGCTTCAAAAATGGAGGAAGTTGTTAGAAACAACAAAGCTATTCCAGCTACAATTGGAATTATAGATGGCATAATTCATATAGGTAAACATGAATTTTAGAAGTATATTAATGATTTCTAATACTATGTGCTAAAAATGTTTTCACTAGATGTAACCATGTATTTTTTTAAAATGTATTTTTAGGCATGAGTAAAAATGAATTGGAAATTTTGGCATCAAAGAATAGAACTTTGACAAAAATATCTCGTAGAGATCTTCCATATGTTATGAGCAAAGTAATTTTTACTTTTTATTTTTTTCATAATTTTTTTTTACATTCATTGGTTCTCTATGCTTGTTTTATCTTGTATTTTATATAGTTAGCTTTTAAAATAATATCTGGTGTTAGGAATCTGATAATATCTGTATATAATATCAAATATATATAAAATAATTTTTGGTGTCTGGTATTAAAAGACTTTATATGGGTGTGGTGAGTTTCCAATGCATTGGAATTATATTGGTATAAAAAAATAAATTATGGGCTAAAAAATATATCTTTTGAGGATTATTTTTTATTATTTGCTCTATCATAAAATTATACAAAGAATTCAACAAATGCTCAAGCATATCAAGTTATCAATTTCAAATGCCTGCTACTCAAATAAGAACATTCCCTTGTGTTTAATTGTAGCTTTTGGTTTAACAAAATGACAAATATTAATTAAAGTAGATGAAATAATAAGCAAACATGGTAATTCATTTAACTTGTAACATGCATGCGTATTTATGAAATTTGAAATAATTTTTGAAGTATTAATTGTCTGTATGTAAAAACAAACTGATTTTTATAATCCAAAGTCTTTCAAATGGAAGTGGCTTAATTGGGTATAATATAGCCTACGTCACAGGTTGTGTTGTTCCTACTAAATTTAACCCATGAACGGCATTTTCTGCAAACCTAACTTCAAGCCACAAATAAACAAACGAAGTGTTCGATCGTTTAAATAGCTGCTCGCCAGATTTTATTGCATTATAAAGGAAAGTTATTGAAACTAAATACAACTAAATAAACAACAACAACTAAAACAAATAACAACAACTACTAATAACCATAACTAAATAAACAACAACTAAATTCCATTCGTTTAGCATTGCGTCATATGTTGTTCCTACTAAATCGAAGTTGTTGTGTTTTTTTCATATTATACCCAATTAGAGATTGTGACTATGCATTTGGTAAATCAAATAAGGCCTTCATGATCCACTTTCAGATGACTATCTATATATATTAAATAAATAATCATTGTTATGCACATTGTTAGAATCAGGATAAATTCAATTTCGAGAATGCTAAAATTATTTCCTTCCCAGTCGCATCAGCTCATCCTGATGCTCTGGAATTTTGTTTTATTCATATGAATGTTGATTCCCTTGTTAACAACATTAGTTTCTCACCCCCTATCTATAGTGTGTGGAAATGTATTTAACCCTGACTTGTCTTTCTCAGACACTGTGGTTTTTCTTGTTCTATTTTTTTTTATCCTTTTTCTTTCTTGGCTACTGTGGTTTTTCTTGGTTTTTTCCTCACCTTTTTTTTAAATTTTTCTTTGGCAATTTTATGCTTCATTTCCAATCACCTTTGTTTCTCCACTTTTACGCCTGGTACGCCTTTTTTTTATAAGCGCTTGAAACATGTCGACTTTCATCTACTAGTTATGTATTTTTGAAGTGAGTGAAGCTTTTATTCAGGTGATGACTATTAATATGTTTACTTATTTATATTTACATTTATTTTTTTTTGTCATAAATTTGGAAATTTAATTAAAAAATTATAACTAACTGTTTTGGTGATGTTTCACATTAAAACTGGTGTAATTTTGGAGGATCCTTACTCACGTTACTAAAGTGCCCTATTTAATTATAAGTGAAAAAAAAATTATTATTAAATTGTTAATATTTTATTCAACTTTATGGTAAACTGTAATAATGATTAACTTATGTTGTTTAGAAAATGAGTGGTGGAACAACTGTTTCAGCAACTATGATATTGGCTCATAAAGCTGGTGTACCTATCTTTGCTACAGGTGGGATAGGAGGTGTTCATCGGGAGGGCGAAAATAGTAAGTTGTTGTCTTCTCGACATTATATTCTTTGTATACCATATTCTTAAATAAATACATATATATTCTATTTTTACCATGTATTTAAGGCTTAAAAGTCATTCGAATTTCGAAAAATTTAAATATTTACATTTACTCTAACAAACAATTCCTCGAATTTCCTGTTTAATTGTAAAAATTGCTCTAATTTATCAGCCAATAAATTTTTTTTACTGCTTTTTTGTTTTATTACTAAAAAATTTTTCTTATTGATTTTTGAAAATATTAATTATTATAACAGAAATACTTGAACAATAAATAACAATAATACTTGAACAATAAAATAATAATAACAATAAAATTTCCCCTTTGCATTGCAACATTTGTAGTTGTTGTATTTTTCTTTGCATTGCTACAGTTATACTGTATAATTTAAAATTATAAAAAGTAAAGCTTTCTTCTATTGTTGACCAATGTGTCACAGAAAACAAGATTTTGCAATTTTTAATCAACAACATGTATTCAATGTGGTCATCATTGCTCACCAACTTTTTTTGCTTTATACCTTTTAATAATCTGTATCAAGCCAACACAGGGTATTAAACCCTCAACCTTCACAATGACAGCTTTTAGTGCTCTGTGTCATTGCAGCTTAAGTTAAATATATGGGTTTACTTTTGGTACTTAAATTTAGGTTCAAATTTTCTTGAAGTTCTATTAATTAATTTTTAGAAATGTAAATGTTTTTCTGTAACTAACAGTTTTAGGAAAACTTCTTATTTCTACTGTTTATGCATATGTAAATGTTTACTAATTTGTCATTAGCTTAATAAAATGAAGTGTTACTTGCATCTCTATCAGTTATGAATCTACAACCTTGTTTTTAATAATTATGATGATAATTTTTTAAAATCTAATTTTGTATTAATATTTTTAAATATGAAGTTTTTTTTAATTATTTTATTTTAAGAAAGGACAAGCTTTTACCATTATTTTCTTTGAGGCATTTGTTTACTTCTCTGGTAAATTACTATTTTTGCATTTATAAGCTTTGTTAAGGTTTATATTGGTCTAATATAACTAAATGCTACTTTTGTACAAATAAGTATTTATAAATATGACTTTATATTATACAAATAAAGTTTACCATTATTATTTCATCAATCTGTTTTGCTTGTTTTAAATTGAAAATATTTAGCTTTATTATTTAAATAAATTTTTCAAATGGCAAGTTTTTACTAATAACTTAGATTACTTTTTCTAAACTTAAATTTCCTTGCAACATTACTTATGTTAAAGAGCAAAATTTTTTTTTTTTGCTCTTTAACGCTGGTTTATCTTACTTTGTATTTCAGCACAAAGGTCGCCCTTATGTGTATTTACTACTTATGTCTTTGCTTATTTTAGAAGTTTTATTACAGTTCTTTTCTAGTCCATTATAGCTTTAATTTTTTACTTTAAAAGCTTTAAAGTCCACCATTAAAAGTTATTACTATGTTTTTAGTAATTATATCCATACTTTCAGAATTATTATTTTATTATTTAGCTCAGCATTTTGAAAATTTTGAATTTGTCTTTTTTTTTTATAAATGAAATTCAACTTTTGAAAAAAAAATTAGCCACTCTTTAGATTTTAAAGAAGAAAATGTTTAGTTTTAAACAGTTATATGTACAATACTCTTTAGTAATGACTAGTATGTCATTACTTAAGTTTGTTATAAAATATTTACATCATTTCATGAATATTTATTACTATACTTTTAGTCATTACCACAATAATTTTAATTTTGGAATACCAGTGTAGCATTTTGCAACTTTTGAGTTGAGAAACATTTTGATACATTCTCTTAACTTTAAAGAAAGAAAATGTTTTGTTACAAACAGTTATGTATAAAACTCTTTTCAGTATTTACACTAATATAGATTGTGAAGGTTTGTCACTAATCTAGTACATCTAATCTTTTGCACAGTTATCGATATTTATTGCTATACTTTGAATTACTTACTGCAATAATTTTAAAATAGCTTTTGTATTAAGCAGTTTTCTTTCTGACACTTTTTTATTGCAAAAATTTTGATCTGCTTAATTTTTTGAAAAGAAAATATTTTGTTATTAAAATTCTTTCCGCAACTGTTAATAAGTGCATACGCAAAAGTTTTAATGCAAATTAGGTATTAAGACTTTTCTATTCTATCTATCTATCTGTTATGTTTTAAAAGCAAGTTTTCAATGTTTATCAGAAAAAAACATTTGTGTGTGTGTGTATATATATATATTGCTTGTTAANAGAAAGAAAATATAATAAGCTACAAATAATTAATGTGCAAAACTATGTTTTCACTCTCTTTCAGATTATGAAAGTTTTTACCTAATAACTGAACGCAATTTATGCACTCCATTTTTCTCTATCAAAATATTATGCAATTTAAACTGTTTTTAATATTTAAAAAAACGAAATTCTAGATTTATATGATTTTTATCTTAACCCTTTTGGCCCCATCGGAACATATATGTCCCACAGATATTTCCAAAAAAATCCTAATCTTTAAAAAAGTCTGAATTTTACATGAACACATGTCTCACTGGTTGTGTTAATATTAATATTTTAGCCTAATTGTTTAGTCTAATGGGCAGAATATTGTTATTTTTACCTTATATGATCTATTAAAGTAATAATTTATCTTTTTATTAGAAAAAAAACTGCTCCTAAAGAGGTTTAAAAGCTTTTATCTATTCTTTAAACTATTTTTTCTTAAAACTATTTTTAGTACCCGTTTAGATTTCAAAAGTTTTTAACTATTTTATTCTAATTATATCTTTACTTTTATGTTTATGAATATATTAAATTCTATGATTTTAATATTCAAAGCATTAATGTTTGTCACATAACCTTTATGATATTTCTTATTAAATAGAAATATAAACATTTTTACTAACCAAGCAAATTCATTCTCACATTAAATAAATCAACGGTAACCATAGTTCATAAATCTTACCAACATTCTCTAAATGAACAGGTCTGACAATTTGTGAATAAAGTTTATTCAAGAAAAAGTTGGGATCGTGAAATGAACTGCGCCTAGAGGGTTTGTAAGCATGAAGTGAAAGTTTAGCATAATTTAACTAATTTGACTCTAGTATTAACTTAGTATAAAATGATAGTTTTCAGTTGTTTTGGAAAACATTAAAAAAATGTTCTAATAATTTATTTTCGTATTCTACAATCATCACTTAGAAAAATATACTTGAAAAATAAAATCTGTGTTAATTAGGAAAGTTGTATCAAGTTGTTTCATTAGCAATAATGCTTCAATTGTGTTATTTTATGATTACCTTTTATTTTTATTATTTGGTTTTTGTCATTCATTCAGATATTACTATTCGGTTTTTATGACTATGCAGTGATAAAAATATCTGTAGTTGATCTAACTATATGCGCTGAGCTATAATGTTGCTTCTTAAATATTAATGACTTATAAAAATTATAATTATAAAAGTATTAATAGCAAAACATTAGTTTAATAACAAAATAATTTTATTTATCGTTTATTTAATTTTATGCAGCTATGGATGTCAGTGCAGATCTTTATGAACTTGCCCGAACTCCTTTGACTGTTGTTTCTGCTGGTGTGAAATCAATTCTCGATATTGACCGTACTTTGGAATATTTAGTTAGTAGAGATTTGTTTGTTTCAATCATATATATTTCAGAAAATATGGGAAATATTTGAATGTATCACTGTTGTTTTCTTCTCTATATTCTTTTTTTTTTTTTTTTTAACAAAAAAATTTTTCTTTTTGCTTTTTTATAGTAACAGAACTGTGTTGCAATATAAACAAGAATATTTATTGTGTTTGAGAATGTTTTCAATTTTCATAGGTCTGTATAAAATCTTGTATAAAATCTCGTTGGGATATTTTGAAAATTAGGAACAATTGCATTCTTTTCTTTCAAATACCCGAAAAATCACTAATCTTAGAATTGTTGGCTTGAGAAATGTTATTGCGACACAATTTGAAAAAACTCTGGCATCTATTATAATTATTCTTTTCAAAAATTCCTTTTTTTTTTTCAGCAGAACTTTTATTTGATATTTTCACTTAGTGATATTTGGTTTCTCACAAAATTCTATTTTTAACTTATCAAATAAAAAGAAATATTTTATTTATTTATTAATTTTTTTTTTTTACTAAAAACTTGCTGTATATAGATAAAATAATATGGTCAGGAATTAAGTTGAAATTCTCAAATGTGTAGGAAAGTCACAGAATTTCTGAAATTAAATGGGAGTTAATTTTTTTGTATTATATACATTGTAATATGTAAAACAAATAAGACAAGTTTCATAAACATTTTCTTCTCATTATTAATGAAATAATGCATTAGTTTCAAATTCTACAAAGCTATAATCATTTCTTATTTTAATCTTATTTTTTAATCACTACATTCAGTAAGAACGTAGTGAACAACTCTGTTTGGATATTATTATTATTTCAAAGGAAATTTAGAACCTTTGGAGTAATTTTCCTATATTCTTTCATGTTCAGATAATAAATTGAAGTTAATTTTGTATATAGTAATGGTCTATAGTAATCAAATTAATGTCAATAAACTTAAAATAAGATTAGAATGTAGAATAACTTCTGAATTTTTCTAATCATTCTGTATATGTAGTATGTTTATCTGCCTTATCTTGTAAGTTTGAGACCCCGTGTAAGGGTCAAGCATTGTGACATACAAACTTAAAATACAGATGTTTTTTTTTTGGAAAAAAAATTTAAATCAATATGTATTCATACAAATATGAGAATGGAATCATGAAAATGTTTCATTGTTTCATCGTTACGTAAAAACAAATGTCTTGACAATTTTCCCTAATCACAGCAAACTTTATTTTAAAAACCGTACATCATGCTTATTTATATAATTTTTTTAATTTTCATAAATTGGTTTTTCGTAATCTGTACTATATTTTGTCTGTCTCTGATACACGACTGAATTTAATCTGATTTAATAGCTTTTAGGCATTATTTTTAAAATTCTATATCTATTTTATAACCAGTCTGTATATTTTGGATGTTTAACTTAGTTATTTTGCAATTTTTTTTTCTCGAGAACTACCAAATCAATGATTAAGACAAAAGAGCATTTTTTAAGAAAAACCAATTTGAAATCACACTACATGAAAAGAGAATCGGGGAAAAAATATGCATAGTTAGCCGTCTAATGTAAAAACATTTGTGTCGTATTATAATTTTTATTTAATGACAAGCATTTTTAATGCAAAACCAAACTAAATTTACACTACATGTTTGAGGAATCATGAAAACCTTTCATACTTAATTGTCTGACAAAAATAAATGTCATGATATTTTTTTCTAAGGTCCTTATAAGTATTTTTTTGTTAATCGTGTTTATTTATATTTTTATTTTTGAAAATTGCCATTCTATACTCTACCCACTAAAGCAACCAGAAAATAGATGATGTACCAGCTTTTGTTATCATCAGCTGCACAAATTGCAGTGAATTCAAGGCTAAGGAAGATCCTTTTGCAGGTAAATAAATAACTCATAATTTAAAAATTTTTTAGAAATAAAATTTTAATTTCTGTTCCTTCTATAATATTGATTAGACATTTAATTTCTTAAAATTTTAGGTAACCTGATCTAAGTTGGCACTGATAATAAGACAGAGAAGACGGAAGTTTTTATTTCTTTCGGAAGTTTTATTCCAGTAGTTAATTAAGTAAGTTCCATTTAAATTTTATTTATTTGTTTTCCAAGTCAATTTCTTTTAATTTAGATTTTTATTTTGTTTGCTTTGTTTCTGTGTGAAATAAAATTTTTTCTGTACACCTTTTTACCGTTAAGATTCACTTTTTTATTCTAGTTCTGTGTTTTTCCGAACTGACATAATTTCTGAAACTAACCATTTTATAACTTTTTTATTTATTTTGTCTTATCTACTTTTACTTTAAAAATTTGTTGCTTAAAGATAATAAAAAAAAATTTTTTTTTCTGTAAAACTATTGCTAATACTTTTTTTTCATGTTATTTCTAAATAATTTAATTAAAATGATGTAAAATTCTAAATACAGTCAGGTCCCGTTTTAGCGAATTCCATGGGACCGAAGCTATTTCTACGCAATAATGAAAATTCGTTATACCGGTATTACGAATTTTCAACATTAACAAATATTATTTCGTTACATTGGGATTACTATTCGTAAGCAAAATCAATTTACAGTTTTGATATTATATTTTTAATCTAGATTTGGGAAAATATCAATGTAATATTAAAAGAGCGCACAAAGCTAATGTAAACAATGAATTTATTAACACTTACTAATTAGGCAGATACATAATCAGTAATTTTTTTCTGAACAAATGATTTAGAACCAGTAGAAATTAAAAAATTTTCCAAATTATGTACATGTTCAAAAAAAGTATCTGAAAAGTTTTTTTTGTGCGTATCTCTTTACAACTTCCAAATTGGCCAAGGCTTGTGAAGCTGTAGGTACATTGTTTTCTTCTGGACATTCTTCATCATCGCTGCTGTCTGAAAGTGATTTTTGTTTGTTTTCTTGAATCATATGTACAATATCATTGTCTGTCAATGCTTCGCATGTTCTAGCATCATCATCTGCAGTCAGAAAATCGTCAAGACTTCGTTTGGCACTGATGTTTCTTTTGTCACATGTTCCCATAAAGGCTGCAAATCGATGATAACATCATTAATTTCATCGACTGTTTCATTGTCAATTGCCGAAATTAAATTTGCTTTCTTCCATCCATTGCACATGACTTTTTGGCTAATGTCTTTCCATGCTTGTTCTTTGTTTTCGATTTGCACAAGCATACGCCTCAGAAGTTGTGTTCGATACTTTCCCTTTACCACTTTAATTATACACTGGTCAAGAGGTTGTAAAATTGACGTACAATTAGGAGGAAAGTATTCGATGTGAATACATTCCAATTTTGGTGGCTCATTGTGGGGAGAACAATTATCAATAAGAAGCAGAATTTTTCTTTTCTTACGTTTCATATCTTCATCAAACTTAACCAACCACTCATTAAATATTCCAGTCGTCATCCACGCTTTGCGACTAGATCTATAATCACAAGGTAGTGAATTTACATTTTTTAGGCACCTAGGTTTGGCAGATTTGCCGAAAACCTTAACTTTTCTCTTTTCAGTGCCTGACATATTGCAGCAAAACAATGCAGTTAAACGCATCTTTGAATTTCTGCCTCCAATGCATTTATCCTTTTTAAACGCCAAGGTTTTGTTTGGTAACAACTGGAAAAAAATTCCCGCTTCGTCTGCATTGAAAACATCAGAAGGATCATAAGACCTAATTGCATCCGATATTTTTTCTGATTTCCAGTCATTCACAGCTTTTAAATCAACAGAGTTAGCTTTACCACAAATTTGCTTTGCAACAATATCATAACGTTCCTTGAATCGATTCAACCAACCAACTCTTGCTTGAAAATTTTCGTTTCCAAAAGTTCTTGCAAATTCTAAAGCCTTTTCACGAATGAGGGCCCGGAAATTGGAATGTTTCGGGAGCGAATATCCTGGAACCATGCAAAAACATCTACATCTTGAAAATTTGAAAGTCGTATCTTTTTTCTATGTGATCCGATCAATGCTGATTGCACTTGCTGTTCCAACTTCGTTCGATTTTTTAAAAAAGTAGATAGAGTAGATGGGGATAGTCCATACTTTGTCGCAACGTCAGCTTTTTTTATCCCATGATCAACTTCTGAAATAATTTCCAGCTTTTCCTTAATGGAAAATTGTTTACGCTTTTGACCACTCATTATGCTGAAGAAGGAAAACAAAATGCTTGCAAACGTTGAAAGCAGACAAACTGATTTAACTAACCTTCTCCTATTGAAGTTGCAAACCACTCTGGTAATTTTCTGAAACTTGTTTACACCCCTTTTACACCTTGAGTTCTTAGAACAGCTCTCTCCCCCTCTCCCCCCCTGTTGTAATTCAAGGAAGGAATTGTTCTGCTAAGGGTGGTCACTTTTAATCTATCATTCTTCACAAGCCCTTTCTATTGAATAGAATTCTCTCTTTTAAAAGCATGTGTATTTTGACTTCTTAAAACATGAATGAATCAATGCAAGGGTCAACTCAGGGTGGTCTCTTTCCAGTGATTCTTCTTTTTTTGACAGGTTTTTCACATTTGAAACTTATTAGTATTTTAAGGGTGATAAAACATTTCATTTCTGAGAACATTTTTGAAGAAATGTGTCTTGTTCATCAAAGAAAATAAGACCTGGTGTTCATTTTCGCCTTCGCTAAACCGGATAATTGATTTCGTAATATTGGTATTTTTTATACATTGTTTACATGGAAATACATTTGGGGATTCGGAAAATATTCGTTACTTTGAAATTTTCGCTATTTCGAATTTCGCAAAAACGGGATTCGACTGTAATGAGAAATTATGCCTGCTATTTTTGAATATAAGCCCATCTGTGTAGTATACGAGTATTTCTTTAAACATTTATCCAAAATTCTAAGCAAACATATATAAGCAGACAGAAAAATAAAAAATAAGACATGCTATCTTTGTATGTAACTTTAAACTTCCCTCTTAGTTTATATGTATGAAAATAAAAATCCACTGAAAGTCCCATCCAATCGTTTCT